TTTTAATAATTTATATTACATACTGAGTCGTGTACGATGTAATATGGTGTTGTATTCTCAGTTAGTCTGTACCTGTTCATACATTATAATACTATAAAATACAAAATTACCGAGATAATGCAACATCACTCTCGGTTCTCGAAAGTAAAAAAAATAAATTAGTTACAGTATAATATTATAAAAAATAGTGCGTATAAAAGATATAAGTAGATATACGATATACCTATCATATTCTATGCCTATATCTTACCTATACCAGTAATCGGTATACCGTAATATTATCTTCTTCTAAAAGTAGGTATAGTATTAAAAATTTAAAAATAATAATAATATTAAACAACAACAACAATAATAATAATAGCCTGGCAATTATTTTTATTATCATCGTTGTAGCGTGTGCGTGAGTGTGTCGCGGTGGTCATGTCGTGGCCGCCGACTTCGTGTTCGGCCGGCGCGCGCGGGGTACCCTTTTCGCCCGACAACTGTTACCGCGCGCGTCGGGTGTCGCCGCTTTTAGTTTCTATTTTTGCGCGAGTCCGTGAACACGTCGTCGCGGCGGCGGTGATAAGGAGAACAAATAACATTTTTGTCAAACCAAATAAATACATATTGTTATCTGTGCGTTTCCGCAATTCCGCATAATATGATTATTAATTAATATTATGTTGGTGATATTGTATGACGAAGGGTGCATATTTATGTTAATATTATCAATTACCTATGTGACATTATAAATTGTAATATTATTTCGAGGTTTTTTTATTCTCGACGTGACTCGAGTGTTATTTTTCCTCTTTAACTTTATCTATTCGCAACGATATCGCAGTGCTTTTTTACGAGTACCGACAATCGGTTGCGAACGTTCCGCCGCCGTCCGAAATTCCTTTCCTCGGATTCATCTGAAACGACACCACCCGTCGACGGCCCGGATAAGTGATCGCTTATTCGTAGTGCTTGTTCTACTAGTTGTCGTCAGGTCCGACACGTCTGACCGCAGAGTCTTAATGGTTCGTATATTCGTTTTAAATCTTTGGTATGTTAGGTATTTTCGTAGGTATTGAATAATAACAATTATAATTTCACATTTTCTCCTCTGTCAGGCTTTGTCGTTGTCATTATTGTTATAAATTTCCACCCCAGTATTATAGCTAGCTGCAGTTGATTTCTACTGTAGATGCAACAACGGTGATGCAGCAATTTTACGTAGCGGCATTTTAAACTGCTGTTGTGTGTTAATGATAATTTATTTGGTTCAAGGTTGACATTCAATAACTACCCACAACAAGACCCCCGTGACTAACATTTTATTATATTTCTTTCATTATATAGTGAAATAGTCTGGTGTGCCGTAGTATTAACTAGTTCCGAGGTCATGGGTAATTGCTTAAAATATATTTATTACATACAATTCTTGAACATCGATTAGATGTTACTAATATACGAATACTATATACTTACTTAAACATTATAACCAAACCTTTATTAATCAGTTTGAAGTCTACTTGAATTTGGTTAATATAATATAAAAATAACTCGTATTGAACCTACCTATTGTATGTTAGGTATAGGACGCCTTCTCTTGTAAAAGCAATTTGAATTTTAATCTAATCAAACCATATATTATGTTTGTAGACCAACCAACAGTGGCTATTAGTGGTGGGTTTTATTAAATTTAAAATGAATTGAAGTTCCTACCTAAAGTATTTTCCAGTACAAGTGAAATAGGAATATTGATTAATTGTATTAATTAAATTATGTGTTGAACAGTCCACAAGTTAGTATGTACCTACCTAAGGAATATCCAATTTGTATCCACTAAGTAGTAGATATTTATCAGTATACTGCCGTCATAAACGAAAACGCCGTAGGTCACCGGAGAACAATTTTGAGAAAAACGGGTTTTTGTGTTTTATATTTTCATAAAATCTTAACACCTTGTACATTCTAATTATTCAAATATGATTTAAGTTTTCCTATGTAATTTTACCCACTGGACGCAATGAAACAATAATAAATATGATTAAATTAATTTTAAACAAGATATTTTACTTTTTACGTTGTACCTTAGTATTGGTATAAACTTTTGATACTTTATTCAAAAGCAAGAATGCCATAACACGTAAGTAACAATTTCTGAAATGATAAAACTATTTATACATTTTAATATGAAATTCACAAAACAAATATATTATTTTTCAGTCAATTTATAAACGGCATATTCATCTACACAAGCAGAACTTTACAATAATTTATTTGTTTTTAACTCATTTTGGGACTTGCGGCGTTTTTGCTTAACAAGGCAGTATAGGTACTTATATAAATATTTAATTGATAATTTCATATTTTGTCAGTAAGTAAGTTCATTTGTTTTTTTGGAACAATTGCAGTTTAGCTACCACGAGATTTTTTCAAATTTTTTTTTCGAAACCTAGGTAAATCAACGTTTTAAAAATGATGGTGCCAAAAAAAAATTGCGCAAACTCTTAGTTTTTGAGTTATAACTGTTAGAAATTCAAAAACTCCCAAATTTTGAATTTTGAATTTTTTTTTGTGGTAGACTTATGTATTTTGACTATTTAAAAACGTGCAATCATAATTTGTCGATCGAATTTAGTTTGAAAGTTATAGCGGTTTTAAGTTATGAAAGTTAAAAGTTGCAGTGATCACGAGTGTATTGGCACTCGTCGCTACGCTCCTCGGCGCCGTCGCTCCGCTCCGCAAATCGAAAATATCCCCCGATTTGTTGTGTAAAACCACCTCAGGTGAACCTCGGAATTAAACAAAGTTGTTTTTTGCCAATTACAGAAACATTTATATTTACGATATTTGGATTCAGAGAAATTATATATCTGAAAAATATAACCGGAGCAGGTAAGGCGCAACTACCTCACTTGGCGCCTTGGTTCAACAAAAAAAATTTTTCTTTAAAAATCCAAAATTTTTAACTTAAAACCGCTATAACTTTCAAACTCAATTCGATCGACAAATTCTGATTGCACCATCATTTTTAAATAGTCAAAATACATAAGTCTACCACAAAAAAAATTCAAAATTCAAAATGCAATATTTGGGAATTTTTGAATTTCTAACAGTTATAACTCAAAAACTAAGAGTTTGCGCAATTTTTTTTTGGCACCATCATTTTTAAAACGTTGATTTACCTAGGTTTCGAAAAAATCTCGTGGTAGCTAAACTGCAATTATACCGTTTTTTTTTTATTTTATTGTTTATTTAAACTTGGTAGTTCTCTATTATCAGGTAGGTGCATAAAGTGTATTTTAGGTAGACCTACCAAATAAGTTTTAAATATTTTTCATACTGAACATTCGAATAAATTAAATTATGAAATTTTATAAAACTTCTAAATAAATTGAATATTTCTGTTTTTAGTATAAAATATAATATAATTCATTAGGTATTATACCTACTTTTCAAAAAGAAAAATTAATTTTTATTACATTTAATATACATTTATATTTTATTTATTTGTATTTACTATTTATGTACCTACATATAAACGATATTTGGATTTTTATTTAATTTTATTATTGGGTTTATTAAAGAATAACAACTTGACCACCTATTTAATTTTTAAATTAAAATTGATAACTCAATATAAAATTTACCTATAAGTACTTAACCTTTTCAATAAATATTAAAATTATTATACATTTTAAATTTTATTATCTGACTTTTTTTTTTTTTAGAAATCAAAATAAAAGGTTACAAATTAAACAAATTTAACAAATAGTTACAGTTTTGATTACCTACCTCCTGTAAGCTATTAGCTTGTGTTTATTTAAAAAACATTGTTAATTGTACATTTGTGCTGGTACTTATATTATGTACCTAGTAGTAGATTTTATATCTATCAATTATTATTTTACAATTTAGAATAATTATATATACATATTTTTACACCAGTGAATATTAGGTATACCATACCAAAATTATTTAAAATACCATGGCCATATCAACAGATGGTATAAGACTAAAATGTACTTCTAGTTCTATAATTATATTACTATGATCATCAAAATTAAAATAATACGTTTTTGTATCTAGTGACGCACATCAAAAGGGGTACATGTTGGTTGACACTCCTATCAAAATGGCTGGAAATTGGAATGTGTTTCTATGACTATAGTAAATTTACTGGTGGATTATTTCATCATGGGAATCACTATAACTATTGTGAATATTATTAATGTAACAAAGTTGAATAAATTGAAAACATAGGTTTTTTTGGAAAGTTAATTGGTGGTGGGTATATCAAATCATTTTAACACTCCATAATAGAGAATGAGTGTACCACTGGGTATATCAATAGCATCAATAGGTATCTATAATTTTTAATGAAATATAAAAATGTATTAAGCAATAGTTTTTATTTTATAAATTAAATAGTAGGTACAAATATTTTTTTATAATTTTGTGTTGTATAATAAATTAATTATTTAAAAAAAATTAGGTTTTAAGAGATTTGGATACTCACATGTGTTGTTTCAGTGTTACAACCATAGCAAATTTGCATTCGTCAGAATCCTCTTTATGTTGTTAGTTTTAATTTATTTAAATACTAATGAAAATTATAATTGGTACATAATCATGCATCATGTTTGAATTATGTTAAATATCTTAGATTTACTGAGTTATAGGTAGTTAACAAATTCAGAAGAATTATAACTATAGGTAGATTTGAAGTCTTTATAATTTAGATTCTTATAGTGTATTCATTACCGTGCATTAAAATATGAGTATAAAATCTGTGTTTAACTGTAGGTCTTTGTGTATGTATTTCTGTCACCCTGTTGCAAGTCTGGCAACTGGCAAGCATCTGTTTTTGTTCACTAAATTTAAACATATACTGCTGCCAACCATTTGTCTTATACTGTTAAGAGTCCCAAATTCAATATATTAAAAATTAGTTCATGTTCTAATCTTTTTACAATTCCTTGTTGAATGCACTCATTTTTTAACACTGGGCATTCTTTTTACAGATTCTATATTAGGTTTATCTTCTACCACATATTGCAGTGCTCTTCAAAAATCAGCAATGGTTGAGGTGTTTGCTGCCAATCAAGGCGACTGCAATTCCAATAATTTGGAAGTGCTGGATGCTACCTTAAGCTCATGTAGGAGCAATGCATCATCTCAAGATAATGCGGATTTCTTCCAAGATTATTCAGATTACCAATGGTTTGCGGACTATAGGTAAATTTCTTGTATTTCTTGTATTTATTATAATTATTTGGTTATTAAATTGTATTCTTTTAGGTACCGTGATTCGGACAATTTTAACCATCACACAAGTATTCTATCATCTATATCAGAAAATTATAATATTCCATGTTATGAAGAAGTTTCCAGAGATTTGGATGTTAACTTGGCCCAAGTAGATATGGAACATCTTAAAACAGAAGACATACATAATATACTGAGCACATTGCCATCTATGTGTGGTCAAGATTTACAAGTATATATAAAATCAAGTATTGATTATTTAAATATTATTTTGTTTATTATATAATTGATTATATTTCAGAATGTATCAACTGAATCATTTTGTAAAAATAAACAGCTATTCTCTCCTGTAAAAGAACAATCGCCAAATCCATTCATAACATTTAGCACGGATTCATTAGACTGTAGTGATGATATGTTAATCACCTGTAAAGCCAATAACAAACATAACTATACAATTGCTTTCGAAGAACCAACTATGGGTGTTTCGGAAGAATTTCAAAATAGTGAAGCTATGAGTACAGGAGAGAGTCGAAATACTGGTTCAGGTGAAGCATGGTCAAGTGATGGAAGTGTTCCAGTCAGTGTTCCAATGATATCTTCAGATACTACTTTTACCACATGGAATAAGTTAAAAAAATGTACCACTTCTGCAACCACTAATTGCACTCAACAACTTAAAGAGGTATTGATTTAGTTTTTTAAACTTTTTTGGTATCAAAATTACCATCTGTGCAATGGCCATTAAATTACATTTGATCAAATAACTGTACAAATAAAAGTAAACTCGGATGGAGACCGATTCGTCCAGTTTGGTCAGACTACACCCTATCAGTTTTTGTTGTCAGCTTTTGTTTCTAATGTTTGGCCGTGTCCAAACAATTAAATAATAGTATTAGCAAAGTGCTAGGTAGTTGATGGAATAATAAAGTGCAGAGGGTAAAATTTGGTGCTCATTGAGTTATTCACATTGATGCCAAAAGTTACTCTTATATAAGACAGTAGATCTATATTTTTACCATAGTAAATATTTAAACTTAGAAGATATCGCACCCGAATGTGTTTTTTAAATTTTGAGTTTAGTAGAATTAATTTTGTGTTGTTTGCTATAATAATATTAGAGTGAATTGACATATTATTAAACTAGTAAGAACATTATCTGTGTCCTCGTAGGTTTTTTTTACAGTTATTTCATTTTAAAGTAAGTTATGATATGCTAGGTATGTCAAATATAAAAATATTCATTATTTTTTTTAAATTTAAAATATTGTAAAAAACCAACAAGATAACACAAATAATGGTTTTACCTTTAAGTTTGATTACAGATAAATTCACTCAAATATTAAAGTTAACAACACAAAATTGTTTAGGTTAGGTTGTAATATAAAGATAACACATGAGGGTCTTCTGTTAAATAAATTTCTTGTATTCACTATGCAACTATATTTAATATTAAAATTAATTTGGGTATCAACTCTCAACTAACTTTTATCCTAAATTTCAAGGATTCTTTATTATTATGAATTTATTAAACTATGTATAAAATATTCACTGGTCACACAACAGGTACCCACTGCAGCTATAAACAATCAAAAACAATATGATTCACATAATTTAATTGACAATTAATTTTTTTTTTATTTTGGTCTATTGTTATATATTTTTTTTTATAACATTTCTCATTTTTGGTAAATTTGACATCGATATATTTTTAGTTGTTATTTGAAACTTATATTTCTGATAACCTAAAATAAAATTATATTCTATTAAACTAAAAACTTACACTACCTCAAAATAATTAAATTAAATATTTTATTTGTAAGGTTTATGTCGTCACATTGTTATTTGTAATTCCAATATTATTATAACTTTAATTGATTATGAAAATAATAAACTATAAAAAACAATTTTAATTACTTAATAACACAACTGATTAATGATCGGTTATTTGATTGTGTAAAACATTCCTCATGAACATAGCTAGACACGGAATGTTTTGGATTTACGTTATCACTAATCGTACCATTCCGTTTTTATCACAAATTGAAACTAAGTATCTTGTTTAATGGTCCTATGAATTCTCAATTATATCATTCTGTTTTCTGTAATATTGTATACCTACCTAATAGTTTGATACTAAATTTAATATTGAACAAAATTTAAGTTATAATTTACAAGTGGCCATTGCCTGTCAAAATTATAAATTTATTGACTGCAATGCACTATGTGTTGTATGTTTTGGGGGGAGAGGGATGTTCTATAAATCCAGCCTTGTTGTCTAAAACTTTTATTTTATTATTTTCACTTTGCAGCATACAAGTTTATCATCAAGTGTAAATGAAAAGACCCAAAGTTTACCTGATCTAATGCCATTAAGGCTGTTATGGTTAAAGCAGAAGAAAAGTCATTATGACTATCTAGTCAAATCTACACAGTCTGAAGGCGGAAATGGTAATGTATTAGAAGCGTTTATTGACCCATTATAAGAGATGTTAACCATTTATTTAATTTATAGAAGGTAGAGCTAAGCTGTATGATGTATCTGGTATTAAAGATCAAACAGATAGTGCTAAATTCAGCCTTGTAAAAATGTTTATTAGTCAAAAGAAAAACCGTCAGTCGGACGGCAGCTTAGTAATTAGCGATAATGAAGCTACTGCTGAGGTAACTGAACCCAGTAAAAATAATTTGGAAGATAGTCTAATGTGTGAGAATGAAAAAACTGATAACATTAAACGTGTCAGTAATAATAATGGGTCCAACAATTCATCTATTATACCTAGCAAGCATTTGTGGAAGGGTTCTAGCTTAAATAAGAGTATGCAAACTTCATCATTAGATGGAATAAGCAGTCAAAAACCAGATTCCAAGGTATATAGAGATTGTAATTAAATATTATTATTTATTTATAATTTATTTTTGTTTTATTTTAGTGTAAGAACAGCCCTGTTTATGTGATGTTTCCAAGTTATACATTACCAGATCTCTCATTCCTGCAGAATCCTAAAGCTGCTTTGGATATTAACAACGTATTTCTTGTACCTCAAAAATTTTCACCCATGCCATCTCCTGAAGTTGAATGTAAAAAACTTAACACTACGCCTGTACATGAACCATCACCAGCAGAAAATTCATTTGATTTAAAATCAATTTGTGCCAAGGGATTTGATCATGTTAGTGATTGGGATTCACTTGCTCTGCTGTTACCTCGGAATGTGTCTATAGCTTTATCTAAAACTCCTGAACTTAAAGACCGTTTTAAACACATTAATTTTGATATTAAAGAACCATCATTTTGTCAAATTGCATTTAAACCCTTGGATAAAAAAGATGATATGTTTGTTTATCAATATGATGATTTGAGTCAACATCAAAAACCACCAGTAGGTCGAGTTAATTCAAAGATTCCTATTAAAAATGAACCGAAAAGACCTATAAATGAAGTACCAAAAAGGTAAATTTCCATATCATCACATACTATTTAAATATATTATATTACATACTTGAATTTAATAACAACTTGGTGAAAACTAAAAATAATTTTTTTTATAGATTTAGTATGTATGATATGAAGTCAGAAACATTTCAAGAACAACAAAACAAGAGGCGTTCTCTTCCATCACAGCTTACAATAATTTCTAATGTCACTCCTATTGTAAGTAATAAATAATTATTATAAAATTATGTATTTTCTTTTTTTTAGTAGAAAAAAATGCTTTGATCATCAACTTTGGTAGAGGTTTCTTGCAGTGAACTGGATCTAGTTTTGAAAATACAAAACTAATTAGTAATTTTTAAAATAACTGGGGAAAAAATATAAACATTTGTTAAAATATTTATTTTTTCAAACAATTGTTTGGTTACCAAAAAGTTACTGTCTTTGCTTAGAATTGTTTTTTCACTGTATATAATGATTGATCATTGAGGTCAAACTGATCACATCATTTATTACAGTGCATTTTTTATTTTATATATTACTAGCAGAGTCCCCATGGTGTTTCTCAAGGTATATTATGTTACTATGGTACATTTATATTAACAAAAATAAACAAATAGAAAATCTGTAGTTGATAAAAATATTATCTTATAAACTTAATTGTATTTCGATAGATACATTTATTAATTTAGTAATAACAATTTCACATTATGTTCACAACCAACCGTATAACCAGTGACACCGCAACTATCACCCTGATATTTGGGTGCCAAGTAACCCAGTTAGACCCTTTAAAAATCGTATCTGGCCGATTAATTTGATTTGAAATTAAATATTTAAATATGATTCATTTAAGTATAGGTACTGACATAATTGTATCTGGACCAACTGTTTGATACTAATCAAACAGATTTAAAGTTTTATAAAGTTTTTATAGTTTTTTTCTTTACATTTTATAAGAAAAATGAATTGTAACTAGAATAGAAAAAATTAACATAGGAGGAAAGGATAAGAAAATAGGGTTAAAATATAGCCAGTATTTCGTCATAGAGTACTAATTACACCGAAAGAAATACATGGAATGCATATAATATTGTATAATTTAATATATGCATTTCGATTTGATTTTTAACATTAATATTATGATGATAATAAAAATTTTCATAGATAACATAACACTTCATCATAATTGCCATGACTCTGAACGTATATTTTACAAATTATTATTTTAATGTTTATTTTTTGTGATATTTTGTCGGGCATCATATTTTGGTTAATATGTACATTCCATGTATTTAGTTCAGTGACCCATTGGCCATTACCCTTTTCCTTTATTTTGCTTACTTTATTTATATAATTAAAAACCAAATGTTTTCAATTCACAGCATTTAAAAACTTATGGTTTTTACAATATAAACCTTTATAATCATTATTAATATAAATTCTGATGTTATTAATATTCAGAACTTTTTGACAAGTAATTTACTAACTAATAACTGTAAATATTCAAAGTTTAGAATAGGAGGTAATGATGGTAAACATTTATTTTACCATCATTATCTATACTGCTCTATTGTCTACTATATAAATGTTTATAATATATTAAGTATATAAAAACAAATTATGTAGTATTTAATATTCCTGCATTTAAATTTAAAATAAATTCCATGTTGGCCAATCTTTGAAAATATATTGTAATCTATTATTTGAAAGATATAGTCTAATTTGTTTGTTTTTAACTATGTACAAATGCTACTAAATACAAAAAAAATTAAAATGACAAATATTTTTTTAAGGCTGGTTCTGATGTTGGCACTTCTGAAGATGAAGGAGTTGAATGTTCAGGAAGTAACTGTGACAGTCCTAATCCTTGTGTTGATGAAGCTAAACGATTAGATTCATTGTTACGACAAAATAAACAAACTCGTGTTAATTTAAAAGCACAAGTCAATAAATATTTAAACCGTGCCAGTGGTCATCACACCCCTCCAAATTCACCAAATACAATAACTAATCAGGTAATATTATCTTTACTATGTAATACACAATTTTTAATATCATGTTTATTGTAACTTATGATTATAATTTATGTATTTATGTATTATTTTAGGCAAAGAAAGGAGGTGATAACATAGACCGATTTGAAGGATGTGAAATAAATAAATTGACAGATTCTATAACACACAAGAAAGGTGTATTTTTTTTTAGAAAATAATTTTTATTTATAATTTTATCTAATTAACAATTTATTTTTATAGACCTGGTGAGGAATTGTTGTTTTGGTGCTGAGAAAATTACATTTTGTCTCGACAATGACTATACAGAAGATTTGCATACAATCGTCCTGGATGTTCTTTGTCCAGCTCTATATGCGTTGTTCAGTGAAAACCTTAAATCTGTTTTAGAAACATCTTTTGGTTCTGTCAATAACTCTGTATGGCAAGTGATAGAAGCTTCTTCTCAACAAGGTTAGTTAATTTTTGTTGATTGGTCTACTAGATTCTAGAACCACATCAGCGAATATTAATTTAAATTTATGTCTCATGATTTTTTTTATTAGTGGTTATTTAAAATATGAATAATTATTAGATCATAGGTGTAACTATAAAGTTAGCCATCTTTTGGAAATTTTAAAATATAAAAGCTCCCGAACTGGTGAAAAAATTAGAAAAATTGTAGTATGATTAAAATATATTATACCTATAACTTAATTTTTGATATCAACCTTAGGAAAATATATAGCCTATCTCTTATGGTTTTAAATTAGATTTTTTTAAATAAGATGACATTTTAGTTTCAACTTTCGACCAATAATTGAATTGGTCCTACCGTCATTAATGGTTAGTTAGAGTTATTATCTCAAAAATTTAATTAACACACCAGCACTGATCTACAACTAAATGGCATTTTGCGAATATAATGTATATTATTTTCAAACTGTTTCATTGTACTGTATAACACATGTGACCAGTCCTGTAAAGTATTTGAGTAAAAGTATTTGAGTAAAAGTATTCAAATACTTTTTTAAGTATTGAATAACTTTTTGGTATTGAATACTTTGGTTTTTTATTTCGAACATTTTATTTTTATTCGAAATAATTTTAGAAATTTTAGAATAAATTAAGAACACAAAATAGGTAGTATCACCAATGGGTGGTTTCTTCCCTAAAAAAAAATCATACGCAAATACCCTATGCACATTTGCTTATTGTTCTAGTTAAGAACAGATTGGAAATTTCATGTAAAAATAAAAAAAAAAATGTAATAAACATTTATTTAATAAATTATAAATAAAAATGATTATAAATTTACTACCTATGTGTCTATATTACAATAATTAGAAACCCACTTTAAAAACCAAAAGTATTTGAAAAGTATTCCAAATACTTTTTCAAAGTATTTGAGTAGTATCTTAAATACTTAAAAAAAAAATGTATTTGAGTACTTACTCAAGTACTTTCCAAAAGTATTCTTTACAGGACTGCATGTGACACACGAGACCCTCACCTCCTTCCCTATAACTATAATACAGTAGTAAGGATAATAATGTCCTCAACCCGTGATAAACACATGGGTGGCATAATTTATACCTAGGTTATTGATTATAAGTTTCAAAAATACAACTGTTGTGCCTATAATTTATATTCATAAAATATTAAGATATATAATATATTTATTAATGACCAATAATTATTTGTCTTATAAGTTTTGTGGTGTAAAACACCTAAAACAAATCACTAGAGAATTACCAATAAGCGGCATTAGTTATAATTTAAATAATTTAACTATTAAATGATAATATAAATAAAACAAACACGAAAGTTGAGAAATTGAGATCATAGGATGATTTACATGTCTTAAGTTATGTTAGAGAACCATATGTTTTCTTTCTCTGACCCAAGTGCAACATATCAAATTTATGTTTACCAGAATCAACACTGAACCCAGTGTTTTTACTATTAATACTAATCTAGAATGAATTCATCTATTATCAAACTTTTGCATGTATTAACGTTGGCAACTTTTTTTAATTGTTAAACAATTTATAAGCATTTTTAAATTGTAATAATTTACACACCCATATAACTTGTATACAAATTAAAATATCATAAAATAACCAACATAGCCGTAGGGACAGGTAATGTTCTTAACTTAAAGTTTATAAATAGGCGAATTCACTCTAATTAGTAAAAATTAAAAACAGGGTTGGTTCTGTAAATTTACCATGAGAGAAAACAAATACTGCGCTGACATTTTCTTATAGATGATTTTTGTTAGTATGTAATAACAAAAATATCGAACTGTATGCCATTTTAACTTATGCATATTATTATTTCGCCCTATCTGTAACAAGTGTACATAATATAATCAGACCTAAGCTAGCCTGTAGTGTGTCAAGCCAAGCTCTAGCTAACAGAACTGGCGAGCAGCACCGTGTGAAATATTACACGAACCATTTGGACCCCTCATAACTCAAAATATATTCCACATAAACATATCAAATTTGGCTCATATATTCAAACTTATGAGATACATATGTGCTCCAAATTTCATAAACACACCTCAAACCGTTATTTAGATATTAACATCCCAAAATCGTCATTTTTATCACTCACCCACTGACTCACCCTATATATCAAAATTCTAACCCAGTTCCAGATGACCTAGAAAGTTCAAATTTGGCATACAGATAGCCGATATGTAGTTAGGTTTATACAAAGGAAAAAATCAGAAACTTGAAAATTTGTAATTTTTTAATCAATTGATTTTATTATTTGATCTATTATATTTAATTTTTCAATTAATTAATTAAGCTCCTCTAATTTAATGTAATGTTGACTTAAATAGCTTCGCTAATCTTTCCCGTATCGCCGCTCCAAAAATACGTCCAGTAGAATATGTATCAATATTGGCGACCCGCGTGCATTTTTTCTGTGTATGTAACTAATATTAATTTAAAAAAAAATTACAATTAAAATAATTAAATAATTCATCTTACGATTATGAATTACCCACCCACCAGATGAAATTATAGTAAATAAAATTATGATAATTAAAAATATACTCAAAAAGAGATGAAATAATTTTATATTTTATTCTCTGTAGTCTGTATACAACAGAAAATATTTTATAATAAATATTATTAATGTTAGTTACTGAATTACCTACAGTATATTGTATATAGTAATAAACTTTGTTTATAGAATACGTCCTGGCTAGGTAAGGTTAGGTTATAATAATTTACATACAAAAAGTAATGATATCCCACCAAAAACATACATGTAAATTGAGAGCCAAGTTCAATACTATAATTTATACCTTGACTTCAACGACAAAAGAAGTGAGATCTAAATGAGTGCCAAGTTAGGATAATATATTGAAGCCTAAGGTCTGACTTGGCTACGAATTATATTATAGCATTCGCAAGTTCTAAAGCTTTGAGTTCTTATTGTTCTTCGGAATCATCTTTACTCTTCCATTACTGTTTTAGTAGGTACTTAATAATAATTCGTATATGAAAACTAGCCAAGTCAGACCTTAGGCTTAAATATACTATCCTAACTTGGCACCCATTTAGATCACTTCTTTTGTCGTTGAAGTCAACAACCAAGGCATATATTATAGTATTGAACTTGGCTCTCATTTTACATACATGTTTTTGGTGGGTTTATAAATACTATATGTCTATATATTGTATTTATATGTATAAATGTATAATATTATATATGTATTTACTATTTTACGTTATACTATAACCACAGAACAATAACGTATGTATTGTACAAAAATACATTTAAATGTGTTTCTATATTTTCATTGTGTAAATACCATTTAAAATTGTGTAAGGTTGAGAGGTGTTAATGTTTTTCTTTAAATAAGAATAATTAAAGCCAAATGTATATAGATAAAACAAATAAAAATTTATTTTTAATTAATACTCCTCGTCTCTTCGGGATAAATGTAAATTTTGTTTACTTGTTCGCAGCGTGTGACGACAAGTATCTAAATATAATTATACAAATAAAAACATAAATATTAGATACTAAATAACTTTACTGTTCGAGCCTCCTGTTTGCAGAATAACAATGAAATATAATACACTTTATACATAATATTATTTTTAAATTATAATAGTTGTAGTCTTCAATTTTTCTCCTGACCCCTTGGGAGTGAGACGTACGCCACAATCAGTTGATAATAATTATAATAATACTGATTATGATGATGATCAATGATGATCAATTAATCGCAATCCCTAATGACGCTGAGATTGTGAAGGACCTGGAGAGACGTTCACGCGGTGTTTCTTCTGGTGCCTGACCAATTGGTACTGTTGACAGTAAGACACCCGGCACTTATCGCACGCGTACGGCTTATTGGCGTCGTGTACGTGCTTGTGCGTGGCCAGGTTACCCATCTGCGTGAACTGCCGGCCACAGACGTTGCACGCGTACGGCGTGTAGCCGGAGTGAACGCCGCGGATGTGCGTGCGCAGGTTTCCTACCTGTGCGAAGGACCTGTGACACACAACGCACGTGTAAGGCTTTTCGCCTGTGTGCACTCGCACGTGGTTCACCAGGTTGCTAACGTGCCGGAACCTTTTGCAGCACAGTTGGCACTTGCGCTTGTCCGGCGCCAAGTGCTGAGCCAAGAACCTCTTGGTTGGGAACATGCGCGCGCACTTGTCGCACTCGAAGTCCCTGGCGCACTCCAAGCTCATCTCCTGGGTCACTGACTGGCGCCGCTCCCGTTGTTGCCCCTTAATTTGGTGTTGTTGTGACTGGTTTTGGGGACACCATACAGCCTGCAGCTGTGCCCTGAAAATGACGAAACGTATTCGTGTGATTTCCTTTCCCAAATTAGTGGTGTTGGCAGTAGCGTAGTTATGATTTTGTTCTGAGGGAGGGGATAATTTGTTATGTAAAAGTCAGGTAAAGGGATTAACCCTCTCCCCCACCACATACTGTACAGATCTGTTTTTTTGTTCTTGTTAATACACCACTATAATATACAGTAAAATAATTTATATTGAACAATATATTTTAAAAACATTATTTTAACAACACATTTTAGATTCTAAGTGAAGCAAGGAGAGGCCAAGTGGTTTTACAATGGTATTTATTTATTTTTTTATCCTGTATACAAAATTTCTACTAGAAGGAGTGCTTAGATTTCAGCATATAGTATCTTATCTTTTAGGAAATTGGATCAAGATGGTACTTTAGAAAGGTCATTTTTCGATTTTCTCAATAGTTACCTTTTTAATGCCACGGGAAAAACCACCGACAAATTACGAAAAACCGCTAAAAATGGGATTTTAATTTCTAACGCTTTGTTTATCACTTATCAGCATAGAAACGAATAAAAAATAATATAATAATATCAATTCAACTTACAGGCTATAATAAATAATAACAGTATAAAATATCCAGACTGACAAACCGTCTCTTCTCAGAATCGTTTTTCTTATACAATGATATTATATCATTGAATTCAAGTTTAATACGATCCATTATACATTGACTCACTTGTAACCTACTGTACAGAAGAGCGACATCCACTTACCCACTTTTTTTAATCTGTAATATATATACACGCCGAATACCACTCACTCATCTCTATTTCTCAAAAACAACAAAACGTATTGTAATGATATAGGTACTAGTCAGTCATAGGCGTGACTAGACTTCATCGACTGGGGCAGCCTAGCTAATAACAGGCACAACCTTATTAGTGAACTGAAAAAAGTCCTATACACCCAAAACCGTATTTTTTAAGCCCCCCTCCACAATGAAATATTTATATAATTTAAAAAAACGCTAAATTATCTATTTACAATAATAAACTACAGTAACTTCAGAAATATTATTCATCTACAGCCTTGGATTACACCACCTAACTACAAATCAAAAATAATACAACAATAATATCAATAATACCTAGATGCGTACTGTACCGTCGTCGCCTGTCTCAAGTCTTTATAAGTAGGTTTTTCCGATTTCGGAAGTCAGGAAATCAATCTTTGTAAGTAAATGGTAATTATTACGATACCCACAAAAAAACAAGTTTTAAAAAGAAATGTTGAAACCCTTCTGACTTAAAACTCGGTTGAACCGCACCTTTCAAAAATTGCAGGGGCAGCCCTGCCACCGTAGACACGCCTATGCTAGTCACACATCATAACAAAATAAACTAAAATATAACAGACTAATAAATAACGGTCAGACCGTTGCACGTAGAAATCGGACATACCCAATAAAACCATTGTCACAGACAAAGGGACGATCTGTATTATACGATCACGAACTAAGAAATCGGCGTTTACTTGGGACGGTACAACATAGGGCGTATGCCTACTAAAAGATATCTAGTTCACGGATGCATTAAAACTTTTTGATAAAGCCGCTTTGCCACTCTCAGTCTGGTCAGCATATCCGTGTCTTCCCTTTAATCAGTGCATGAGCACCAGTCATATCAGTAATAAGTAATAACCATCCATTACTGAATCCTGCGAGCGACAGCTGGACGCCTTTTAACGAGCAATAATGTTGTGTGTTTTATTATTTGGATTCGAGTATTTTGAGTAATTATTTTATGTCACTGCTACAGCCCACAGGTCAAGACATTTAATATGTAATAATATATTATTAATTGCGGATATGACATTATGTGCACATTTTACATACACGACTTCGAGAACCCTACGAACACCTGGAGGGGAAGGTAAAAGAGTGATTTTAATATTTGCATCTGATATTATTCTCCAGCACTTCTACGTGTAGATAATCATACAGGTCAAGGGCGCCGCCCATCAATCAGAACCTAGGGGGGTGACAATATCATTCAAAAATAACCAAGAACCATTACCAACCAAATTGATTTTATTAAATAACAGAAATTAAATTTTTTTTTTTTAAGTTTTGGAACTTGAAATATTTAAGACATGTATAATAAAAACATAATAAAAAATATTATATTAACAGATAATAATTATTATACATTTTTAATTTAGAACCCCAGTGCACTGACTACGATCATACATGTAATTTATTATAAGGTCGTTAATATTTTGATTACGCCGTCAATCAAACAATTTTAAATTTAATATTTATTTTTTTTTGTGTGTGCAAGTCCTGTTGATTGACGTTGTAAATTTGACCTACAAATAAATAAATATGTGTACCTATGTCTGTGTACAATTTTGATCAAATTTAATATGTATGACCATTAAATAAAAAAGGTCCTTAGATAATAGTTTGTAAAATAGAATTAAAATTGGTAGGTACCTACATTTTGATTATGATTTATGAACTTGAATCCAATAAAATTATTAGTTAAAGTATGTTTTTTCCATCAACATGTAAACATGTCACAGTATTGGTACAGAAGATAAAACAGTTCTTTAATTGATTCAAATAAACATATTTTATGTCAAAATACACGAAAAACATTTCCCTTGAAAATCATATACTTTGTCCCTGCCCCCAAATGCCTTAATAATAATCTCACAAGTCACAATAACAAACATGCCATGGAACACGTCATGTTTTCCAAATTAATAATTTATTAAATATTAGATTTTCAAATCTAACAAAAATAAAGAATCACAAACAAACATATTACCTATTGTTAAATACTTTAAATTTTAAAACGTCAAATCGAATATAAATAGAGTAATACAATTGTTTTGCTTATGTACGGAAATGTTAGAAAACTTACTGGTTGTCGGACATCTCGATCTGTAATCTGTATTGATAATGATTTGGATTTCTTCAATTATTCCAACAACACTATCTGAAGAGGTGAAATGTCGTTGACTCAGGCGTTGCGTCCGACTAATACATGACTATAGATAAGAACTGAGTACTGAACATATTTGGTTTGAATTTGTAATAGCCAGTGGACAGAGAATCGTGTTCAGCTGTTTAGCAGTAATTAGACTTTGCCCCGACGGGTGACGACAGGAACCGATCTATACATTATTATAATAAACAATATTTTTACTGCATCGATTCGTTTCTATTTTCGTCCATATTCCGTCGGTAAGAATCGGTATGTTTTTAGATAATAATAATATTATATTATTACTGCGGGTAGCGTGGCCTCTTGGTATAATATATTATTACTATGTTGAATGTTACTATTATTGTTCGATCCTCAAATATATTAAAATATTGTTCGTTATCGGCAGTTCGGCACTCGGTCTTATAAGTACACAATTAATATTGTGTAAATATGCAATCTTAACACATGTAAACAATAAAACGCCAAACTAAATACTAAACAGTAAACAGTAGGTTAGTTTTTATTGGAAGAATCTTACGATACTCGTTGTGATTGTTTAAAGTTGAAATACATCCACATCTCTGCAGATATTTATATTTTGTTACTTAACATCTTAATACAAAAATATTTTTAGGTTTTTGTTATTATTTGTTTTCGACAACCTCTTATTATTTTCACAACTAAATAAAAAATTTAAATAACACCTATTCCCATTTCCAGCATCGAACTCAAATAAAAATTATAATCGCCATGACGCTATCTCACTACTCAAGGTACTGAGGTGCACGGCTATTCAGCAGCGTTTTCCGTCGAATTAAAAATGCATTGTTAAATACGCCGAGTTTTCCGCCGCGGATGACGTATACCTATAGCTCCGGCCTTAGGTAGTACCACGGTTATCTACTCAGTACTACATACTACATAGTAGTACTAACAACTTTTAACTATAGCGTTTATGTGTAGCTCAACAGGTCGAAAGTGAAACCATAAAATATTTAATCCATTTCCTGTTCTCTTTATGAATGTGCGATCCATAATCTATTATTTTAACATAAAAACATAACTTCAATACGCCCGTATAATAATTTTATTGTTCATAAATTACATTTTTACTTGCATTTTGTAAATTTTCGTTTTGATATTTATTTTATACCGTGCGTTAGTTATAACGATTCTGTTATGTAATATTAAATAGTTATATTTAGAGCAATATAGATTATAGACCTTAGACATACAATATGAAATATATGAATTTAACAGAAATTGGTTTTTTTTTTTTTTGATTTAACTATTATAGGTTGGTGCACTTAATTTTTTTAAGCGTTTTCAGTTTTCATAAGCCATTAGTTAAAATAATTGTATAATATATCAATATTATAAAAGGTGGACAAGACACAAGTGTGTGCCTCTCTGCTGTTTAGTAGTTGTTGAGAATGTCATTGAAACGGATGTGTTATATTGAATCATGATTACGAAGTAATGATTTTATTGATAAATCATTGCACACGAAAAGCGATTCTGAGTGGAGACGTTGTGTCATCCTAGAATACTTGTATAAGTAATCAAATTTAATAATTAAAAAAAAATTAATAAAAATAAAAAATATCTTATGTCTTTAAATAGCGTAACTTTTCGCTTAATTTTTTTTTTTGATAGCTGATGGCTCAAAAAGAGTTAAAATAGTTTGAACATTTTACCATGTATGGGAAATGATTATATAAATATTTGGTGAATATATAACATACTAACTAATATTGAATAGATAAAAACATAGAAAACATAATTTTTAAAAAATATAATCGAGGTAATTTTTAAGTACCTATATTTAATAGTATAGTTACTTCCTATTAGCCGGGAGTAAATATTAGGTATACAAATATTATTATTTTAAATCCTGTATGAGTTATGACTATGTATATTGTATATATATATATAAATATGATAAACATTTTCGGCCATTTTTGAAGTATACATAACAAATAACTAATAAGTAACATAATAAATCGCTATTTCTTTACTAAAATACTAATTGACAAAAGTAACAAATTGTAAATTATATGATGCAATGGACAACAGACAACAGTCAATGTGTTTGTTCTTGATTATAATAATTTGTGCTATTGTGCATCGAATAAGGGATGTGATAGTGAAACCTGTATATTTTGTTCTCCGTCTTACGTGGTATGCATTTACGCATGGTTTAAATTTACTTATATACTATATTTAAGCCATGCATTTACGTTCAATACATTTATGTTTAATAATATAAATCATGGCATTTATTACTAATTTTTGGCGAAACCATTAACATTTCTTATCCTAATGCAGTAACGCTCAATTAGGTTTGAGTATACAATGTATACTAATAAGGCAATAATTTAGTTTAAAATTCGTTAATATAAAAAAAAAAAATTAGTTACCTAAAAATTAATAATACTTTTATTATGCCTTTGAGAGACGCGCACTCCTTAGAATAGAGAATAATTGAAAATCAATTGATATAATATTGATTATGATTAGGTATTTATGTTTACAATATTACAAGTTACAACCATGATATTATGAACCGAAGCTTAAATTATTTTTGGTTATCTGATTTAAGCGTATCCATTTATATTGTACTATTGTAAAATTTAGATAAGTAGATTTATTAATCGTTTCAGGTGTTCTCTCTTCAGCGCTCAACGAACTGACTGCAAACGTTAACAACGAACTGGCACTCAACGAGGGCGTGATGAAGTTCAATGCATTTATTTTCGGACTGCTAAAGTGAGAATCGATAGAAACTGCAAATGAAGCGTATGAAAAAATGTCATAATATTATTATATATTCGTTTTAGTGTCGGGGGCTTGGACGCTTGGCTGAGCTATATGAGAACCCGCGAATCGGTATGGCAAAAATACTATAACCGGAACGCTCTATTCGTCCGCGCCAATTTTGGGTGCACATTACACAGGGATCTCGTGGATCGTTTGATCGCTTCCGCCAGACCGTTGGCCAAGTACAGGCCCGATTTAGACCCGCTGTACGAATGTCGCAAGCTCCATGAAAGCTTATCCAACATAAACGCAAGTGTTTTCTGTCAACCCATTTTCGTATAATTTGTGATTTTCATTTTATCGCGAGCCAACAACGCGGTTTTGTGAAACATTCTTGGTAAATTCGATTTCGGTAATTTATCAAAATAGTTTATGGAATCATTTTATCTATAACGCATTGTTCTTACGATTTTCAGACGTGTTCCTATTTTTTAATTGTTGTTTTTTTTTCTTCTAAAGTTGATCTGAAATGATTCCACGCGACACAATTGTTGATGAAAAATACCGAAACCAAATTTATTTAAAATCTTCGAGGGTAATATTAATATATTATTGTCGGTCCGCGATAAAAACAGAAAATATCACTGCAGCGTCTTCAATGCACCTAAGTGTATACTATTGTTTCGTATAAATGACGATCGTGTTTTTTGTTTAAAAAAAACGTAGAACCGAACGTCGTGGTTACTGAAGAAAACCGCGCGGACGTTAGAAAACGAATCTTCCAGGCCCAGGTCGTATGTCGATTCGGCCGCTAAAACGACGGTAGATGTGGCGGGCACGGCAAGCAAACGTTGGAGCGGCGTGCACATGGGCTCAAAGCTGGCCACGGCCTTTGAACGGCTTGACAATATTGACGAGAGGATCCAGTGAGTTTTTATTTTTACATCAGGACCATTGTTAGTCGTGTTATTATAGTAATTACCAAATTATATAGGAAAATGGTTTAGCGCAGGAAAAAATGGAGTAGGCTAGAAACAGCATACCTAATATATTATATAATAATATATTCTTAATATTTAATATAAAATAAGAGAACTATGACTGTAAAATATCATTATTTTATTGTTTTTTTTAAAACAATTCAAGTTTGAAAATAATATTTCAGTTCACAATTCAGTATTAACAGCTGTAGGTGTAATGGTGTATGGGAGGGAGAGGGTGATGTCGTAATGAGCTTATGATTATAGATGCTAAGGATTTTTGTCTCCCCACAATAACTGCTATATAATATCCACACTGCAGCATTTGGGAAATAATAATATTTTGTGAATATTTTAATGTGCTCGAATAACTAATATTTGACTAACTATATTTTATAAATATTTTTTTCTCATTATAACAAAATATTGTACTATATGGTTACATAAAAATGTTGACTTAATATTTTATATAGTTTCTGTAAAAATGTTTTGTGAAAATATTTTCAAAAATATGAATTTTTTGGCCTAAGAATATAACTAAAATATTTCCTAATTATTTACGCAAATTTTTTAAATATTTTGACAACTATATTATTTTCCTGAATTATAGTTAGGAAATATTTATAGGCTGTGTGGGATATATAAAAAACGTTAGTTTCCATACCGTGAAATATTTGGGCATTTGTGACTATACTGATTAGTTATACTTTAAGAATCCTCCCCCCACCCCAGTCCCTTTTATGATTTGTTTTGCATAATTTGTATGGCTAATGTGTTCGTAACAGACCGGAAGCTGCCGAGACTTGTCACAGTAGCAACGACTCCTCCAAGGAGACGCCCGTGAAAGGACAGCGGTTTAGACGGCTTCAGATGAAGTGGGAGCTCCTCAGCACCAAGGACCTGACGTTGGATACACCCGATTTTGATGGACCTAGGGGCGAGTTGACGAGCGCTAGGTATTTATATTGTAATATATTTTTTATCTGGCGAAGCGTACTGAATACTACTGATGCTTTGTGATTTTTCAAAAATTGTTTAATATTTTCATACTGTTTATCATTTACTATATAATGATACTATTTTTCATACTTATTCAGGTTTTTGAATAATCCATTTTTGAACAAACTTAAGGGGATTGAATGTGGTGATTTAATAAGGGGTCGCGTATAGGCAATTCAATGTCTTATACTCGTTACGCAGTGTGGTTGTGTGCGAAGTAAATTATCATTAGTGTGCGTAGATACAAGCCCGGATTAAGACATTTTGAGGCCCAGGGGCCAAAGTTTTAAATGAGGCCCCTGTACGAAAAAAAAATAATGTATATATTATTTAATATTAGGTACCTGTTATAATAAATATATATAGGTACTAGGTACATAGCAATAAATAATGAATAATGTATCACTTTATTTAAAAATTATAATTTACAAACTTTTTTCCTCGACAAATAATCATCGAATTTTTTTTAGGTGATTATAGCCCAGTACGTGTTTCTCGACCTTTTTAGTGTGGCGACCCCCTTTTTGAATTTCATTTTTTTAGCTACATCCCCCCACCTACATATATTTTATATTCTATTTATTTTATTATTTATTTATTTATATATTTTTTTTTCGACTTTTGCTATAAAAATAATAATTGTATGTTTTCCGTTTTAATAAAATAATATAGTGACATGTATACTCGTATTATGTAATTTTGTAATGTTTATTGATTTTATTTTTTTTTAAATTTTTTTATTACTTTATTTTATTATTTTTTATTTTTTGTATTGATTTAAATTTTGATTCATATGTGACCCTAAAAAATAAGTTTGCCACCCCCAGGTTGAGAAACACTGTTATGGTCTATAACAAAAATAGTAATGAACAAATCTGAGGCCCCTACATAAATTCTAACTAACGAGGACCAGGGGCCATGGCCCCTTGTTCCCCCCCTTAATCCGGGTTTGCGTAGATACGTTCGAAATCCGTCGTGTGCCACTCTCGCACGCACACGCAAATGTCAACAAATAGAGAAAAACGAAGTATTATATTCTTCTATGCATCACCTATAAAAACTACCAAAAGCGGTAGTAAATTAAACATACTTCCCGAAGTTTGATTGTAATTTCGAAGAAAGGGTTGAATTCGTAAGCTCCTAGACTGCTTAGTACTAACCACTTTTTTGATATAAAACCCAAAAAGCTCAAAATAAATACAAATGTAATGCAATTATTTCATGAGATTTTTTCAAAAAATATCCAAATTTTATTGTCCTTTAAAATTGAAAATTGAAAATCGACTTCCTAGAAAGCCTAGTTTTTAAAGAATTCATACATATATTAAAAATTCTGACATTCGGAAGTATGTGTAATTTTCCACCGCTTATTGGTCTAAAATGTACGAAAAATACGTGGCATGCGATCTTTTCGTTTGATTTTCGATATTTTAAAGTTCATATATTTTTATGTAAAAAATATGTAATATAGTGTTACAACTTTTTTTTCCTTATTATCGAGGACAGGGGAGGGAGAAAACCTCGATTTGCATTACAGCTCTCCGGTACATGTGTTACAACTTAAAGCCCCTTATACACTTGTAACATTTTCTGTAACCCCGTAACACCGTTCCACCAATTGTCGGTAAATTTAGCCGCATCAAAGGATGTTACGTGCAAATGTTACAAGTGTGTACGAGGCTTTAGAGAATGTTAGCACATTGTTTGTTTTCTCTCTGCCCCACGTTCAATATAGACAAAAAATGCATTCATCCAAAACCATTTTTATTACGTTTTTGCGGTATCTTAGAGTAAAATCACTATTATTACAAAAATTCTAGAGAATAATATTTTTGCGACTATGACATTGATTTGTCTAAATGTTATAATCTAATATCTCGAAGCCTCAAACAATTAATATCCATTTACATTAAACGTTTATATTTTTTTTTCTTAAGTTAAATATTAATACAATATAAAAACGATATATCAAACCATAAAAAATATCTTATCTTTTATAATTATTGTAATAATTAATTTTAAGCGAATGCGTTTTATCTATGTTGCGCGCGGGTCTGACAAAGAAAACAAAATATTGCTCTGATATCTTCTATTAGGGGACACCGTACCGGTACCAGCATAACGTGTGTCTCTCTGTCTTAAAAACATTGTACAACATACCGAACCTGAGTTCAGAAAGCCCGATGTAGATCAATTTATACATTATAATATGTACATCGTAGTTCAGAAGAACTAATTTTGTGTTGGTTAGCTTTAATATTTCTAATATCAAATTTAGAAATGTATAAGAATATTATTTAGGGAAGCATCATCTTATAGGATTTCATGAAATGCCTTAGGGCTTAGATAATAATATTCACACCTTTGAATTAGAAACTTGGACAATTTTCTCTAATATTTTAGGTATTCATCACAAAATTGTTTTTTTTTTCTGAATGTAGATTTGTTGTATGTAATACGATAACAACATATTATACCATAAAATACTTATATTATATATATTTAAAAAGCAGTTGTTTTACGGATAACCCGCTTTGTTGCTTAAAGAAAAAAATTATTAATCGATCCATTAATTTTGCCCTGAACAGGAGATCCGCCGTTAAGTCGCGTATACCACGGTTAGTCCTGTCGCCGGTCCAACAATCGGGGCCCGATGCATTCGGCAACAAACGTCCGATGACCGCCACTTACAGAGCCGATTCGCCAACTTCACCTTCTGGCAGTGCCAACAACAAAATCGAACACACTTCCACTAGGTTGGTGTATGCTGCTATAATCGTTCTCTGTAATATAATGTGCAATATATTTTGGTGATTCCAAACTGTGTAATAGGGTGTGGAGGCAGTGCTCTATAGCCAGGATTTTTTTTTTTTTGGGGGGGGGGGGTTAAAATATTTCCTAGGGTTAGAGCCGCCTAGGGTACTACTGGATTTTTACATTCTAGTAAGTTGGTTCATTCTATCATATTTAAGAATATTGAATTCTAAAACTCCCATAATATTTTCTTGAATTTCTTCGCTAACCTACTTATACGTTGTTCCTTGTTTTAAATTTTCAATCTTCAGCTATAAAAATTGAACATTTTATCAACTTTTAACTACAAAATAATTTTTAAATTTTCAATTTGATGGATAACTGTTTTCAAAAATTGAACTTTAAAGTTCAAATGCATATAGCCAAAAATTTGTGCCTATGTATTTTTATTATTTCTCAACTGCTATTGTAACAATATATCAGAAGTCTTGTATAACATTTTCACGCTTTTTGACCCAACGAATACAATTAAAATTGGAAGGTTTTCATTAATTTGTTTTTCCCGGTGCTTTTGAAAACTACTCGGAAATTTTAATTTTACCCCCCCCCCCAAAAAAAAAAAAAAAAACACATCAGTATAAAAACAAAACATTCAACTCAGAATCTAAAATTAACAAATAAATAAATACTAAATAATTAAACAATAATTGTTTATAATTATTATATCACGGTTTTCATACCTATTTATATAGCGTTTCCTGTAATTTCTAGAACTCAGTTTGATAGTTACTTTATCGTAATAATTTAATTTAAAATACTGAATACTATAAACATGGTAGATACTAGAAATGAGTAACATAATTAAATAACAAAAGATTCATGCCCACGACAGGCGAATAAACAATTTCAAATTTGATATTTTTTGAGGGTGGGAGAAGTCCTAGCTACAGCACTGTGTGAAGGGATATGATTTATGACATTATAATTTAATATAGATTAATGAATTAAGAACACGTCAAAAAAGTGATTTGTATGTATCAAAATATTCTGCAATTGAAGTATGAAATTAAAAATGTATATTGTCATTGAAAAAATTGTATTTTTACTTTATAAAAAAAAATTTAACATTTTTATAAAACAACGGTAAATATTATGGATCTATATAAACTTTTTACTTAGTAAATTTTTTCTTTGGTTTTTTAAACAATCATTATTGTGTGACATTCGCTTTATATATGGTCGAAGACCCAGCAGTAACACAACTATATATTAATCATGTACTTATGACTGTTTATCTGGATTTTCAGGATCAGAAAACCACCGCCTTCAGCATCCGCTCCGAAAGCAACTCGACCCAGCAGCTTTTCGCAAAGGACGGCACCTTGCAAGGTGGAGCCCATTCGTTACGTGCGGACCCTTTCGCACCGGCTGTCGGCCGACAACGGACACTTGTCATTCAATGAGGGCGAGAAGTTGCAGCTCGTCCTGGATGTGGACGACAAGTGGATACTCTGCTGTCGAGGCGCTCGCAAAGGTCTCGTGCCTAGGTCCTCCGTGCTGATGGTGTCCAAGTAAGGGACCTGCCAGTGGATGTTGTGTATGGTGGCCGCCCGGCATATTCCTCAATGATATTAATAATAATCGACCTTGATTATTTGCGCGTTTAATTTATCGTCTATATTAATTATAATATATGTTTCGTTTTTAATATGGTCTCATTTTCCTTGTATTTTGTGTTAATTTTCATGTATAGAGTACTACTACTACAATAATATTATTATGTACATTTTTTTTTTTTTTGTTTGTTTCGCAAACTATTACATTAATATTGACTGACGGTTCATGATGATGGGATAGTCTTGTGACTCGGCACATGTACATCGTTTAAAGGCGTTCAAGTGCAATCGTCGTCGATTTGTTTTTTTCGTTGAATTCTTCTGTTTTGTTTTTTATTTTTAACAATTTACACCAGGTTTTTTTTCTTTTACGCAATGAAATTCGCACTTTGCAGAAAATAAAACCATTATCTGCAGTTGTACTTGGAAGGGCGTGTCGTTAGGAGCTTTTTATGATATTTTGTTGTCGTGTGTTGTTCTTGTGCACTGTGAAAAGTAATTTTTATGTTTTTTATAAATCACGCAAATATTTGTTATTCAAACAGCCACCCTTCTTGTAATTTAAACTAAGTTTCTTATACATACCTAATAAGTAATTGGTATGTATATAATAATATATATTCTAGTTACAAGAGTCGATGCTTTATTTATAAAATGCTTATGAAAAAAATACTTTTTGTTATTAAAAAAAAGTATAAGTATTACACTAATGCTTAGATTATAGAACATATCTTTTATTTTTTACAACATTTTTCTACTATCGTTTTGTTTTGTTTTTTAAATTCTAGTTGCTGTTGAGACCTTATTTGTTCGGCCCCTTTGCAATGGCTTTGAACAAAAAAGGTCTCGACTCGTGTGTCGAATGACCTGCGTCCAATCTCTGTTGGACGTCATGTGTCATACTATCCACTGTGCTCTTGTATACAGTATACCCCAAGCCTTATGATTGAAAATAATTTAGTCCTTTGCCTAAGCAAAATAAAAAGCTTTGACTAATACTATGTTGCTTTATATAAGTATAAGGTTTATTATATTATTATTATATTATGTTGTAAATTATCATTTTTTTTTTTTGTTTCTTTCATATTTCAGTTTTATAGACTTTAATCATAGGTCCTTTAAGATTTTATTTTTGTTATTTTTTGTTTAATTAAACAAATAAGACTGCTTTTAAACACTCGGTATTTTTTATTTTATTTGTATATTTAGTTATTATTTACTATACATCAAAACAATATTATTAACAGAATCCCAGCATCGATACATATAATATTCTAAATATTTTAATCAATGTTACCAGTATTCCATGGTTAAAGTATAACATATTTAAAAAAATGATTCATGATTATATAATATTAACTTATTTTAAAGTATAACAGTATAATATTATTAAATATTATATTAAAACTAAACAACTAAAAATTAATCACTTCACCTTACGTGTAAAATTATTATCACAAACCCCGATGATTGTACGTTTGTTAAAAATATGTTAATTAATCGATGATGTGCCATGACCGAAAAAGTTTAAAATAAAAACTATCACTAAACATTTTACTATATTATTATGATATACCGAGCAATAAGTATCTGTAAACAGACGACTTGTGTTTGTTGGAATGAAAAATATATTGATTAATAAATAACAATAAACCCATCTTGTATTATTTGTAAACAATTAGCTTGTCACAAACTCGAAACATTCTCTGGAGTCTTACATTTGTTTTAATTTTGCTCATGCTCGTGGTCAATAGTATTAACAGTAATAGCATGTTTAAAATTTCAGTAGCGGTTTATTCTTTAAATATTTTTTTCAAAATCATATTCTTGTTAAACAACGGCATAGTATTTTCCACATCCGACAGTTCCCTTTCACATTGATGCGTATACACTTTTTTTTTAGTTTACATGGATCTGGATTACGACAGAAATTAATTGATTAAATCAATTTATTTAAATACCTTCAAGACCTTTCAGACTGACCAGTAATTTATCAGAAGTATGCACTTCACTTGGTTCGTTGCTTGTATCACCAGAAGGATGTTTATTTATTGCTGAATATTACCTAATAGGTAGGTAATTTGTGTTGGGTCATATTCCTTACTGTCATCTTATATTCTCATTCATAATTTTTTAATTGGAATTAAAATAAAAAGGTGTAGTCCAATCAGAGCCGTAAGAAGCTCCTCTGATGCCTGAGACAAGTTTGAGAATATGCGTCCCCCACTTTTTGTCCAAAAAAGTTCTATTTCTCATCTCATTTAAATACTTATAAAAAAAAATTGTGACCATGTATTTTTAATATTTTTCAACTTCCATTGTAACAATATATTAAGAGCCTTGGATTACATTTTCAAGATTTTTGACCCTACGAATAACGTTTTATTGACATTTATAGAAAAAAAAACTAAAAACTTAGAAATTGTAAATGTTAGGAAACCTCTCAAAATAAGTCAGTATTTTTAAAAATTTTATGGTGCATAGAAAATTTTAACATAAGCTTTGAGTGATAATTTCATGTATCTACAATCATTTGTTTTAGAGTTACATCAAAAACCAAAATCGATTTAGTCAAAAACCAGTTGAAAATTCCTGTTTTTCCTTAATTTAATTGTTATTTGAAAACTACTGGGAATTTTGACCACCCAAAGTACCAACTACATTCACTTTCCTATCACAAAATATAGTATATACTGTTGAAGAAAATCCAAGCATTTTTACTATACTAAAAGGTGGCGATAGATACAAAAAAAAATATGCACATCATGCATATCAATCAACACACTCATCGCATTAGAACCTAAAGTTTATCTAGGATTAGAGCCTCCATTGCACTGGAAGCCTAAGTCAAATGCCTCAGTCGCCTCAACCTTGCTATGCCCCTGAGTCCAATCATATTGCATTGGATTTACATTAGAATTGATAGTGAAGTGCAATCAACATTTATTTATTAGTTGGTGCATAAAAATTGACAGAGCATGATGCTTATTGCACCGTGCAACCAATCTCAGTGTGATATTTTACAAATACAATACAGACTATAATATCAATATATTACATTACTGTTAGACTGTTGTACATGTTCAACTGGGGATGAGTAAGATAATTGAATAATTATCTAGATAGGATTCATTTCTAAAAAAATCCTATATATTTTTTTCTTTTAGTGCTAAAAGATAAATTTTTTTTTTATAATTGTGTGATAAGTAAAATACTTCAATATTATTCAGTTAATTTAAGGGAAACAATGGGTACAAAAATCAAAATCCATCCTGCCAATATTAATTCACATTCAATGATTAAATGGTTTTTTTTTTGAAATTCAAAAATAATTTGTTTTATACACTATAATGTGCTGCAAATCCTTTACAATTATTTACAATATTAATTTTGTCGTTTCATGTTAAGAAAATAACAAGAGGCTAATTGAACAACTTCCTTTTTTTCGATTTATTTCGGAAAAAAAAATATATCTCATTTGTAATTTTTACGCAATAAACAATTAAAATTCATGTAAGATACCAATTAAAATATGTCAGCAAAATGCTAGGTATAGACATATGAAGACCCACCCTACCCTTATTTGCGTATACCTTTAAGTAGGAACGTTTTCTTCAGTGTGAGCACTATAAACTCTTTAAATTTCTTGCAAGACAATTGACGGCTGCCAAACAAATTGTTTATCTATACATATAAAATCCAAATACCGCTCACTGATCGCTGTATCTCAAAAACTACACAACGTACAGACTTGAAATTTGGAATAGAGGTTCTTCTCATATTTTCACCGTGCAATAAGAGAGGATTTGCCAAAATTCGCATTTTAAATAGGTGCTTAAACAGAGACATTGAGATTCACGATGGAAATTGGAAATTTTATTTTTATTTATTAATAGTTGCCATTGGTTACAGTCAACAGTAGAAATTAGCATTTATTTATTATTGGTTATTTGGGCAGATCAGGTACAAGTTTGCATCAAATCGAATTATTGAACATTGCCTATTAGGGTGGCTGAGTTGCACTTACCGCAGCAAGTTACACCCAAAAGGAGTTGAAAAATCATAATTTTTTTAAGAGTTGCGATTTTTTAAGGGCTACCAAATTTGTTATATTAAACCACCGTATTATATCAAAATAAACTTGGTATAACTTTGATACTTTAGAGTTAAATACACTTGCGTACAAACACAACTGGGTCTGCGATCTACCGCAGGTAGATTGCCTATCTGATATATACTGCTGCGAATCAGAATTTTTTTTCCAGGCAACAGAATAGTTAAGATAAATTTTGAACACTATACACCAAATTTTAAATAACAAATTGAACAAAGTTTGAGTCATATAGAGTTGGTAAGTGATTTAGTCATTTTTTAAATGATATATAATATTACAGACAGTTAACATCTATTATACCAACCACTAGTTAAAACAAAAACCATAAAATAGGTTTTATATTGTAATAATATTATTACAATTTACATTTGCGACATTTAATGATGATCTCTAGATTAATTTTTTAAGCTGTAATTAGAATATGCATAGAGTACAACTACAAGTCGATAAGGATATAACGGTAATGGTGAACAGTCTGTCACAAATAAAGTGTTGAGAATATTAATTTTGAGATAAGTTTTAGTGAATAGATAATGATTAAAAATCTATTTAAATATTAAAGAACACTTATTAAAAAATATTATATAGATTTAAAAAGATAAAGATTTATATATGGTTATATAATCATAGAACCATAAAGCAATTCACAGCACTTTTGATAATATATATTGGGGCATTATACTGTAACTTATGGCAACTCCTTATGTCAGGTTAAAGCTCTACTTTTAAAGAAACTAATTGATGGAAACCTAATGAAATTATTGATCTAGAAAAGAAGTGTTCATCAAACTAAAATAAGCCCTAAATGGTTGCTGCAACAACAATAATAAAAGTGTAAGAATCTCAATGAAAATATCACTTATTCTAATGTCATATTGTTCAGATTCTAAACAATATGCCGTCATATGGAACTGTACAGATATGGACAAATTATTAATAGATTACTATTGTATTAAATATTTTCTGGATTGATCTGTTAAAAAACCTTAAGGTTTAATTAATTTAAAATGGGTAATTTTTGAACATAAAACATTACAATAATATTATGTTTGTTATAATGTACACATTAAGAAATTATTTTATTCCAAATTACAAATTAAACAAAAAGAAATATTAAAAATAGTAATAACGCTATATTAGCTGTATGAATTTTTGTTTGTACATGTATTTAACACCAAAACACCACATTATGGACCAGTAGACTTAAAAGGTAGCAGGAATATTTTGCTTTTCGAATTCAGCTCTGTAAAATAACATAAAAATATATTAAAATTAATCAACAATACAACAAAAACAAATAAGCAAGTAAATCAAATGTTTAAACATGGAAACGGTATAAACCAATAAATCATAAAATACTAGAGATTAAAACATTTTTGTTAATGAACTTAAAAATATAAATATTAAATACTACTACTGCGTGGTATTTATATTTTTCTAAACTTTTATAATATTAATTAAAAATAGATTTAAATTATTAAAAAAAACATTGGTTTTAAATGTCTTATCATACAATATGATTAATAAACGCCATGTATTTTGTGTTAAAATAAATTTTTATCAATTTTATTACATTATTTCTGTACACCTCACCTCCCAAATGAATGTTCAAAATTAAATTAATATAGTAGAACCTGCTTATTACTAAGATATGTATAACAAACAATATTCCGGATAAAATGATTCCCGGCCATAGTTTTGGTTGGCTTTATATTTCACGTGGAGTATATTTTTGTCATCCATACATAATGATCTGATTCTCTAGGTTCTAGGTGGGGGGGATATATATTTTTTTTAAATCTTAAATAATAATAAATAAATAATTTAAATAATTTCTATTAACTAATATTTGGATTCAAGGGTAGAATAAATATTACATTTTAAATCTAATGCAAGAATTGATCGCAAAAGGTAAGCTACCAAACAATAATAATTGTTAGCCATATTTACCTCAATTGAACACTGAAATCATCCTCGACATTGTCATCGTCCCAATTATCTTCCCAAACATTAGCCTCTTTATCTTCTTCATCTTGGCTAGTCCACTCTTGAAATAAAATATATAAATATTTATTAGTTAGTTGTCATATACTATAAACATATAAACATAAGCTATAACCAAAAGCAATGAAATCATTTACCTTCCACTGGGAACTCTTCGAATTCATCGTCTTCTTCCAACAGACCGATGTCCAAAGTGTTCTTTTGCTTGTCACCGTCGGATTTGGGTTCGGTAGAATAAACCATCGTGCTAATTTATGGAAAACAGGATAATTGTCTGAAAGGAATTTAGAATTATTAAACTACCTACGTTTCCACTTTTCTAGAGATTTTCAGATTTTGAGAGTTCACAAATTTATGATTATATAGAAATTGGAAGATAATGAGATAACTGAACTACCGAAGTTTCATCTTTGTTTTTGTTTTACACTCGAAAGAAATTTAACAGTCATGTTCTTAACCTCAAAATACAACTTTTAATTGGTGTCCAAAGTTGTTGTTATGACCCACGATCACGATTTAAGATAGTATTGTCTATTTTAAATCGTGTTATGACCGAATTTAATGGAAATGATGGAAATTAGTCATGATGGAAATATAATTTTATTGTTCTCATGATATAATTATATTTTATTTGGTTAGATTAGGGGGCATATATAAGAATATTCTTATATATGATCTCTAGCACGATTTAAGATATACACAAGATATTAATACTAAATAGGTATATCTTAAATAGTGGTTCTATGACAAAGAATATATCTAAACTATAGTAACTACCCGTTGAAAACTTGAGCACCACTGTTCAATACTTCAATGTACAATTATTTATTATTCACTACGTCTTTAGTCTTCAAGACTGCCGGTGCTCAGTCATGGCAGAAAAACTACTAAAAACGTTTTCTCATCCATGATTTTTTTTTTATCTGAAACTATAATCAATAACAAATCCTGAGAAAAACTGTATGCCATATAAATATATAATAATAAAAACACAAATAATAATATTTATATTAAAGCTAACACTGGACACAGAGTTCAAAATGTTTTTTCTTTCTCCTCGTTAATTGAAAATGTGATGTATTGTAAATAGTAATTTAATATTCCTATGATGAAGTCGAGTGAAGTAGACGTGGTCAAGATGATCGATGCCAATAAAATGCGGAAGGAAAAAAAGTTGTCGGTAAGTTCTATTAGTAGTAGTCCGGCATCGGACTTAAAACCTCGGGTGGTGACTGTCAAGCAGCACGACTCAAAAAAGCTTTACACGCCGACTGCTAAAAAGGAAAATACAAAAAAAATTGTTCAAGATGCAACAAAGGAAATTCAGAACTGCAATGATAGTTCTGAATGGCGCCTAGATTTGAGTAAATCCGGTTTGACTAAAGTGCCAATAACTATTAGAGATGCCACACAATTGACTGAATTGTATTTGTACGGTAATAAATTGGTCACTTTACCATCAGAAATTGGGTGTCTGACTAACTTACAGACACTAGCACTCAGTGAAAACTCTCTAACTTGTCTACCGGATTCGCTAGCTAATCTTACTAGTCTTAAAGTCTTAGACCTAAGGCACAACAAACTTACTGAAGTGCCAGATGTTGTCTATAAGCTTGATACGCTAACTACACTGTTTTTGCGTTTTAATCGTATACGTACAGTGAGTGATGACATTAGTAAATTAGTCAACCTAGTCATGCTCAGTTTACGAGAGAATAAAATCAAAGAACTTTCATCTGGTATCGGTAAACTGGACAAAGTAGTTACATTTGATGTGTCACATAATCATTTGGAACATTTGCCAGAAGAGATTGGAAATTGTATACAATTGTCTACACTAGATCTTCAACATAATGAACTTGTCGACATTCCTGAGACCATTGGAAATCTTACACTTCTAACACGTTTAGGGTTACGATATAACAGATTGAAAAATTTACCGAATTCATTGAGTAATTGTAATCGAATGGATGAATTTAATGTAGAAGGTAACATGCTTAGTTGTTTGCCTGATGGCCTACTTGTTAACTTAAAAGAAATGAACAGTATAACACTAGCTAGAAATAGTTTCACAGCATATCCTACTGGAGGGCCTGCCCAATTTATTGCTGTAGACTCAATTAATTTTGAACATAACAAAATTGATAAAATACCCTATGGAATATTTTCCAAAGCTAATTACCTAACAAAACTTAATATGAAAGATAATGCCTTGACATCACTGCCATTAGATGTTGGTTCTTGGACCAATATGGTTGAGCTGAATGTTGCAACAAACATGATTACCAAATTGCCCGATGACATACAATATCTACAATCCCTAGAGGTGTTGATCTTGTCCAACAATCTATTGAAAAGACTGCCAGGTACTATAGGAAATCTTCAAAAACTCAGAGTGCTTGATCTTGAAGAAAACAAACTAGAAACATTACCTCAGGAAATTGGTTATTTGCGAGAGCTGCAAAAATTAATTTTACAATCCAACCAATTGCTATCTTTACCACGGGCGATTGGTCATCTCACAAATCTGGCATACCTTAGTGTTGGTGAAAATAAGCTTAGTACATTACCAGAAGAAATCGGTACCCTGGAAAATTTGGAGGCACTTTACATTAATGACAACCAGAGCCTTCATCATTTGCCATTCGAACTTGCCTTATGTTCCAAGTTGCAGTTGTTGGGAATAGAAAATTGTCCATTGAGTCAACTTGGCGATGCAGTCAAAGGTGGTCCATCTTTAGTAATGACTTATCTCAAGGTAAATGGCCCATACCGTACTCTATGAAATCTTTTAAATTGGTGTGGTATTTCCATTTGATATATCTAACACAATATTACAGTGAGTCTAATGAAAGTTTGTTAATAATTGTTATCGTGTTTAAAAAGTTTGTTTTAACACATATATTGAAACTATATTTTAATGGACCACTAGTAGTATTGTGCATTTTTCTCTGACTACCATTATGAAACCAAGTAGGAAAAAAGTTATTTTTAATTCCTGGGAAGTTTGGTTGGAAAGTTGTTATGTTCTTATAAGATGCATTAAACATGCATAAGTAAGTATTTGAAATCAGAGTTGTTGATAATTTCTTTCCAGAGAAATTATTTTAGGATGAGAGTTTATAAATTGATATGTTTTAATGTTCCAAGAAATATCTATTAAACAAAACATTACTTTATTTGTATACAATTTTATCAAAACTTAAATTGGAGTATGTATTTACTATTAAGTTAAAAGTTTTATTCATTAATGGACAAAGTATGGACTCGGAACGATTATTTTCAGTATTCTATTCATTCAATTGAATAACTTTATATAAGCATTCGATAAATAGCAGTTTTCGAAGTACAATTTAATATAACTATTTAATATTGTTGTCACAATTTATCTAGAGTTAAACACATTTATCAGAAGATGAATATTTAGGTAATACATTATGTTTTAATTAATAATAATCATCCTTATACTTTAAATTTTAAATAATCAGTGGCCAGTATATTTACATGAAATTATGTTTAATGATGATAAAAAAAGAAATGTATAACTTTGCAAGTTTTAATATTTATTATTTAAGATGATAATATTGATTCAATGATATTACATTATAAACTCTCATCGGATTCTGAAATTTAACATCTATTATGTTTAAGATAATGTATATTTTATATTGTCATAAAGGTATTACAATTGTTAACTAAACTACTACTACTAGGCAATTCAATACAAAATAAACTTTATAAAAATAACCATTATTTTATACAGCATGTCAACTGGAAATTTTACCACAGTCCCAAAATTGTATTTAAACCATGTACATCAAAGTGTATTAAATACCTATTCATTAATTTGTTTTTATTCAATCTTAATAGGCAAATATATAGTGTGTTATTTAATATTTGTTTTAATTGAAAATTATAAACGTATATTGTATTTATATATGGCATATAATATATAATATTCATTTAATATGTATGTATGTGTGTACATTATATAATATATAATATATATATATAATTATTTCAACCATTGAAAAAAATAACGTAATATTATTTTTGTGTGATAATTATTATAATATTATGTTAATGTTTAAACAAATTGAAAACTAATTTATTTGAAAACAGTTGTCATATTAATATTATGATTACAGTTGTATGATATAATATCTATTGGTTATTTATTAATTTATATAGTATTATAGTGAAATCATTATAAAATAAATTGTATTAGAAACATTAAAGTTTGTAGATTAGTACTTGTGTCAAAAATCCACCATTTGAGCTTGTACTATTTATAAAATTATTTTTGTCATTATTTGTGCAATATAATGAATTTAATTTTAAACTCAAAATTGTTTTATATTCTTTACCTAACTGTTTCTTTTTCCAATTATAGCAGTAAAAAACAATAGTAAATTTCTTCTTCATGAGGTATATGAAAAAGGGAAGTATTCATACATTTTGTTTAGGGATTTTACTCAAACAAATAAATATATACAGTGCAACACAATTGATCACTGTCTTCTTCCTTAATTGACATGAAAAATCATAAACACAATTGTGCATACATTTAGTAACACAATTGCTTTAGCATTTGATATTGTTGCACAAATAAAAATTGTTTGGCCAGTCTCCTGGTTGACAATCATTGAATCATGTGATAATTATAATATTGTTGTACCGGCTTGCCTGCAGATTGACGTACAATAATTTTTAAATAAGCCAACAATGATTATTTGCCGTTAGTTCTAGGCCTATACGACTTACCGAATTGAGAAAGAAAATTGTGACTTAATGATTAGTTATTGACTTAAATATATAGAAAATATAATGAGTACAATCAATTATTAAATTTTTTAAATTTTAATCATATATTTAATTATTTATTAGATATTAAGTAGATATACGGCATACACCTTATATATTATAAATGATAATATACATAATATATTATTTGTTGTGTAATCATGTTACTAATTTGTTGCAAGTGCTATAATTTTCAGGTAAAAAAGGAAAATGTACGCAATTGTTCTGTACAAGATTACTAATTGGGGCCTGGTATGGCTCGTTTTTGGCCTCAGTCCCTAACGTGTTCTGAGGTCAAGTATAAAATGACCTTAAGATATTATAAAAAATGTATTATAATTATTAATAAGAAAGTAATAACTATTTCGGTACAAAACTATTTAATATATTTTTTTAATTTAATTTTAAAGGCATCAACTGCAAGGTTATTAGCCTGTGTTACTATAGGGGGAAACTGTAGGTTGTTACACGTGGGTGTATTTTTGGCAGAATTTCGACTGGGGCAACCGTAGGTTTCTGCCATGCCCCGGGGTAGGGGGATGGCGGCACTTGTTCTCCGGACACCGTGACTTGCCCGGAGAAAAATGCCGCCCAGTGGCCGAGAGAATCGAACCCGCGACCGCCAGCGCCGCAGACGACGTGTTAGACCGCTCGGCCACCTCGTCCCCCTTAATATATTTTATATCTTAGATATACACAGAACATTTTTTATTAGTTTATAACTCGAAATGATTTGCCAATTTTCGTGAATTTGATGAATTTTGTCAACATTTTAACTTCGGGCAATCATTTAAAATTATTGTGGATTTACGCAAATTATTGTTTTTAATTTTCACTAACGCCAATTTATGTGGAACGTTGTGTTACATTTTAAAGTTTTTTGACATACCAAAAATATTTTAACGGCAATAATTAAAAAAAAACCAAATTAAACTTAAAATTTACTTATGCCTATAAATAGCTCAAAAAGAATGGCAATATTACGAAAATTGTATGGTGCAGATAAATTGCTAATATAAGCATTCAGTGAAAATGTAATATATCTATGGTTATATTTTTTTGTTACACTCAAAAACTAGTTTTGTATAAAAATCTCAGTTTTTACTTAATTTTTTGTTTGTTTTTCCTGACGTTTTTTTAAACTATTTGGAATTTTTTACTTTTGACCCTGCAAAGTAGCAACTAGATAAACTTTATTACCAAACAAAATGCTGTTGAAGAAAATCAAAGCATTTTTACTGTCGCAAAAGGTGATGACCAGGGTTGGGATTTTATAGCATTTCACATTTGCATATTTCTTATGAGATACTTAAAAAATAGCAGAGTAGGTAAGCTAAAAATGTGTTTCATGATAGAGAATTCAAATTCAATTTTTATTTTGTTTTTTGGAGACTTTTTTGAATTTTTACCTGTTTTTGAATCAAAATCGGTCATATTTTATGAAATTATACTTTAGTGAATGTGTTTTTAGGTTTTTGTCAATCGTATTATTACGATAATTTCGTACCTATTAGGTATTTGGTTCTAATTTTTGTTTCAAATTGTCAAAATATACTATGCTAGATTCCACAATAAACTCTAGTCACATACAAACCCCTTGATTATCAAACTTTCAACAAAAACTCTACCTGATAACCCTCAACGTAGGTTAAAAAGAAAATGGTGCAGGGACCTTTTGTCCTGAAAAAAAAAAAAAACCCATATTAAATAAATTTTCACGTGCTGGGTGTTACCACTGGGTAATTCCCCAAAATCTTTATATTCTTTGTTAATTGTTTTAGTACTCTTCTATCTCATCTAATTATTGTGCATATTTTTGTATATATTGTAGATTGTCTTTTTACTCAATAAAAAAAAAAAAAAAAATTTTGTTATCTGCTGATTTTGTTGGGTTTTTTTGTCTATTTCTACTACGATTATTAAATGAATATTATCAACGAACGAGCATTGAATGCGTTGTATAGTCAATTCATTTGGATTCTAATAAGAGTGAAATTATTTCAAATCTACTACCTATAATAATTTGTAAGTGATTAAAAAATTATTAATTAATTAAACAATGTTTTGTTCTTTTTATTGCATATTTTTAGCGCATATTTATGCAATTTTAAGTGCTATAAAATCCCAACCCTGGTGATGACAGACAAAAAAAAAACAATAAGATAATTGTAAAATCAATACATTCGTCGCTTCGCTCAGAATCTAAAAAGACCGCAAAATGCAAAATAAAAACTATATACAATATACTATACTTGAACTCTTAGATGAACACAATCACATGTTGTGCTTGAAAATCTATAATATCCTGTAAAGCATAAAAAAAATTGCAATCTCTTACTATATCCAAGCCCTATCAATTAGCGATATAGTTGGTAGCATGACAAATTAGATAGGTATCATCACAGTTGTATCACTTTTGCGCAGTAGATATGCATCTCCTTCCCATCCGGCCCATGTCGTAGCTCTTCACTTCTCATTGGTCGATTTTATTCTATGTTATATATGTATGTATATGATTGACAGCCTATAAGAAGTGGAGAACTACGATAAACGGATAAACGCGAAGTAAAGAGCGAAGGATGCGTATTAAAACACTGTGATGTACCAGTGGCGTATTTACGGGGGGGGTCCATGGGGTCTGGACCCCTCCCATTGACTCGTGTCTCGTACATGTTAAATGTTGTGCAGTTTTTACATGATTAAAAAACAAATTTTATCATACCATTTTACGGATTGTATAAAAAATTTTCTAAGCTATAGTTATATCAACATTTTCAATAAATATCGCGCGTGATTATTTTTATCAGTTGGGTACCAAAAATGGTTGAAAAATACCAAATTCATTTTTTAATTCAAATATTTTGTAGTTTTGTACATTTCCAGTATCTATAACCACTCCAGAGAGATCTTTTTCAAACGTTTTAAGGTTGAAAAGCCATCTAAGATCAACTATGAATGAAGTAGGTACCTAATGTAATTAAG